GGAAAACGGTGAAGACCATTTCATTTAACGACAGGCTCACTCTCCTACTCTTCCTGCAGTCCAGCTTTGGACCAAGTCAGCACAGCTCCCCAAGCCAAAATCTCTCCTCGCTTTCCAAGCAAAAGTCACATGCAGAACTCTGCTATTTCACTGTTCCGCCCTGTAATATTTTTCTCTTTGTCACATGCAGTCGCGTTGTTCATAATTTGTGCATCTCATGTCTTAAGATCAGTAAATACATCTCAATTAATTTTATTAATATATATATAATATATTAATATAATACTGTGCAATATAGATAATTTATTTACAAGTCATTAGAGTCTGTAAACGTTTGAATGCAATTATATTTTTAAAATGATCCTCATATTTTAGTTAGATATTAGAAATGGGAGAAATAATGTAAATTTACCACAAGGACACGCCTTCTAAGTTCAGTGTTCTCCTTGTTTCAATTTTTGCTTCAGACATAATGGATTATAATGCACAGTAATGGAATTTAAATGTAATCTAAATGGATTCTGAAGGATTTGGCAATTTTAAGGTCTGGGACACATCATGGGATTGAAGATAAGGAGCATTTCTGCACATATTCCAAGCGTGAACTCTGGAGTTTCCCCTGTGAAGCCAACGCAGCTGATTTATTAATAAAAATGACATACAGAGGGGAGAATTTTAGACAGTTCCTGGACTCTCCAATCGGCATTTTTGGGGGCCTGTCCGGCATCTTCTAGCGTGCGGTCGCCGTTTCGTACGGCCTGAAATTACCGGCGATAACAGGGCGGCATTGTGGAGATGATTTGCTATTAATGGTAAGTAGGTTACGGTGGGAAAATGAAACTGGGGATCATGTGTGTGCTGGAGGGTGTCCAGGGTGCGGGCGGCCTGGCGTCACGTGTGGGTCACCTCAGCCACAGCTACAAAGGTCCTGGGATGGAGTGAGCTGGGTCAAACTCCAGATCATGGAGCTGTTTGTTCTCAAATCATCTTACGGAAAATATCTTTCTAATGACTCAGGCCGGCCTGGATTGAGCGTCGCAAAACAAAAGCCTTTCAAAGTGTGTTTTCAGGCCTGTCCTTAAGCTACTCCCCCCTCGCCCGACCACACAATTACCCATAATGCAGTGGTCTCCTCCAGTAATCTCCACATTCCAGATGTCTTACTGCATGTGACACAGTGCACAGAGTCCGGCCATTTCCAAAAATCCCTCTTCCTGAGGAGACAGTGACATTCCTAACGCAGAATTCATCCATGGTATGACAGGAACTGCAATATGAAAGGCTTCCTAACAAAATTCCATCTTTACACAATTTGATCTTTCACAATATTTCTGTTTTTCCAAAAATAAAACTCACTTGTTCCATTACAATATGCTACGTGTTGTGTTTTGTATGTCTAAACTGGTCTGTGTAATCTCTCTGATCATTCAGATAAGCTCTAAATACTGGCAATGCGGTATGCAATGCATTGTGTTCGGACACTGTTCCTGGAATTGGAAGGTTCAAATCCTGTGTAGTCGGTAAAGTGCTTTTAGTGTTAGGGTTAATGTTAGGATTAGTGTTAGGGTCACTTAACCCTCATTTGCTTCAGGGACTGGCTCAAAAATAGCAGGTCTCTTTGGATAAATGCATTTGTTAAATAAATAAAAACTGTCGTATTTCCCCATCAGTAGGGATGCTAGTCTGTAAATCTCCTGCTGCTTCCTTGGTCAGATGCGCCACTGTGAAAATAAACCACCTGATCTTCACAACCAACCATTCAGGAAACCTGGCGATCGGATTACGCCGATATTCCCACATCTCTCCCAGTCGGTTAACGCCGAACTGTAATTAATTCTCAGCAGGATACCGCGGTGGAATTCTCATGGCCGGAATTTCCGAGCCGCGATTCACTGTCAGAGAGTCCTCTCTGTGAGAACGCAACCGACGCGTTCAAAGGGGGGCGGTAAACAAACCCTGAGAGCAAACAAACGAGTCAGAAAGGCACGCCGTTCCCCTACTCACATGCCTCAGGAACAACAGAGAATCTCACATCCTGTTCTGGGAACATATTTTCATTCACAAACAGCGAGGCTAGCTGGTGGGAATGGGAGGGACCCCATGTGACCGGTTACGTGCGGGTTAAACCACCGCGGGGGAACAAAAGTGGGGGGGGTGGTGGCCGGAGGGGTGTGTTTTCTGGCTTTTGGAGGCAGGGGAGCGAGAACAAAACTGTCTGCGCAATTTTACGAGAGTAGCGGGGAGCTCTGATCGCGCTGCGGAGGCTTGGAAAGGCTCGTTCGATTTCCTCACCAGGAGGCGACCAGCCATCAGACATAATTCTGGTATTTTACAAAACCTGAGGCCATGAAAAACAGAATTTAATCTCCCCTAACAGAGTAGTCCGCTGTTTACGGGGTCTTTACTTTGTATCGATGCCGTATGGCAGGAAAACAGTCAAGGAGATTTAGTGAAAACTGGTTCTCCTCCCAGTAACATAAAATACCCCAAATAGACAACACTGGGGCAGCAGTGGTGTGGGGGGGTGGGGTGGTGGGTGACACAGCTGATACCCCACAGTCCTCATGTCATTGTCACAAGCTCTTTGTCCACAAAAAACATGTTTGAAAACACAGTCCTTTAAGTTAATCTCAAGGAATTTGATAACTCAAGACTTTTTGGAGGGTAGATTTCAGGACACCTCTAGCCTATTAGCCCGACTGGTACCGTGCAGTGTGAGCCTGGAGATTACTTGAGATTAAAGAAGAAAAAAATGTTTCACAGATATTTCACAGCAAAGATCCTTTCATCTCTCTATGCAGAAAGTTCCGGAAAAGGCATCCATTAGCGTGTGTGTGTTGTAAGAGCATCGTGCCTTAAGGGCATTCCCGTTAAAAACAACTGTCACACGCTCATTCTGACATTCCCATTAAAAACATGCGTCGCACGCACATCCTGACCAGAACCCTGCGGTTCTAGGGCTTCTCCTGATGTTCAGAGAACCCCCCCCCCCCCGCATTTACTCATTCCAAGGGTCCAGTCACTGGCTTCAGGAGGGAGAGCCCATGTCCCACTGTCCAAAAACCTGGAGACTTTCCAGGTAACATTTTTAAGGAGGCTCCCCTACCTATTTCGTAAGCCTTGATTGAACACTAGGGCTGTCAATAACTTGAGTGAAGACCAATCAAAACATTCTGCGCCGAGACCCTCGCCTCCCCAGCCTCTCTGTCAGCGGCACACTGCCGAGAAAGGTTCTCGCGTTGGTGCACCAGCCGTGCTGTGCAGAATGCTTATATAAACAGCCAAGCTCTCAGTAACGGGCACGGAACCCGCCATGGCCGGCCTTCACAAACGGCCGCCTCAATTTCCCCAAAGGGCCGATTCTGCCCTCCATGGGAAGAAAGCCAGCGAAATTAAATTTAACAGTACAAAGGGAGAAGGAGAACACACAGAGCCTTTATGGGTCACGCAGAGACCCCGAGCCATGCTGTACATGGGTCTGTAGCTGGCTAGATCACTGCTTTTTCCCTACGCCGGCTGAACGCCGGCCAGGATGTCTGAGAGCCGTGAGTTCTGTGCCAGCATGGAAGTGGTTTTGGACAGGCTAGTAAAGGAGCCCGGGCTGTGAAACACATCCCACAACCTGAGGGTGTCCTCGTCCAGCTGAGTGAAAGGCAGGCCTGCTCCTCTCTTGATTAGGCTGGGACTCTGCAGCGGGGGGGGGAAGGGGGCATCTGCGTGGGGGTACGCAGTTCGGATCACCGGCCATCCCATCCCCCACAAGCTGCCTCAGAGGATGTTTTATTTTGTTTGCCTATCCAATATGGCAACCTACTTTTTGCCACTGTAAGGTGATTGGTCGTAATCGGAAACGGAGACACAAAATTGGCAGAGGCTAGAACAGCATCTGTGGACTTTAACCAACCAGAAAGCCCCACAGGCCAGAATCCACAGCCCCGCCCTTCTTTGTGATCTCGCATCCACCCCACCCTAGGAAGTCACGGGTCAGAAGCCACACCCCCACAGACAGCAATTAATGTGCACCGTCCCCCTCCCCCTCCCCTGCCAGCGGCCCTACTGGGGCAAGAGCTCCTGTCACAACCAAGGCCTGGGAGGGGGGAGGGTTGTTGGTTTATGGCTCTACATTCTCTGGGGAACAACAGATTAACAGCTGAAGCGTGTTCCACGGAGACGGGACAGAGTGACACAGTCGTTAACAACACCTCGTAATTACAGTGACATCCAATTATATTTAATGTTTATAATTGAAAAATGTGAAAGCGCACTGCAAAAATATGTCACAATAATAAACCGCATGGAACACAGAAGAACTTGTATGAGGCTGAAGAAACCAATCCGCACACTATTACGGGTGACACCCCCCTGATTCCGTAATTCAAGAATTTTCCCCTGGGATCAATAACATTTTGTCTTATCTTAATAACGAAAAATGCACTAACAAGGCTCATAGATTCCCTGGATGTTTTACTCTCATTCTGAATATAAGAAGTGAACTCTGAACCTCCCTAAAAGTCTGAAATGGTTTAATCTAATGCATAAAGCAGAAAAGCCGGGACAAACAACGGCCGGATTCTTTTGCCGTTTAAAAGCTGCCATCTTGCTGAACCTTTTTATAAAACTCAGGGGACTGTTTCAATGTTTCAGTGCCCAGGAAGCCTATTGCAGCTGCAGTCCTTTCAGGGCATTTTACTTTTCCTGTAAATGGCCCTTTGAATCCACCATAGCAACATGAGGTAAAGGGGAAACACGCAGCGATTCCCTGCATTTAAAGTTTTACGTTTTTTTTTTCCCCCCAGCACTCTCTTTTAAATCAGGGGACGTCCTAAGAGGAAGCGAGGGCCAAGTACCAGACAGAAACGCTAAAAGACAGCAAAACCCACACTGAAAAACACGGACACACACGTAAACACGGAAATCTCATAACCCAACGCTCAAAGCAGACTAAACACTTCCCTCCATCTTCTGGAACCTGCCACCAGGGACGGCAGTCTAATTCGTACCTGGTACACCGCCCTCGGTACGCGTCTGGCTCTAAGCGTGAGCAGAGTCCGCAGGTGCAGGATCCTCCACCTCCTCAGAGCCGCCGTGGTGATGTTCCACAGGATTCCCTGCCCGCCCAGGAACACGTCCTCCAAGCCAAACAGGGTTGCCTCCATTGCAGCCTGACTGGGTCGATTTCCGGGTACCAGGTAGATTTCACAGCCCTGGGTGATGTAATTCTTCGTTTTGCCCCGTTTCCGGTTTTTTTGTCGTTATCTCCAAGGGAAGGCTGGTGGGAGTCATGCCCAGGTGGGCACAGGAAGGTAGTAGCTGTACCGACATCCCATATCACCCCTGTCCACCATGGCCTATCCAGAAAGACTCCTCCATTGCAGTGGTCCCCTTCGGGTTTGGCAGTACGGAAGACGCTAGGCATTAAACCCGACCGGGCGCGATGTGGAATCCTGCAGAGCCGCAGTGGGATTTTACAGCCTCTCCGTTTGTCTGCACCCGGGTTGAGCCCGGCGAGGCCCAGTGCGCAGCTCCCCTGGGCTTTGCGGCAAGGTGACTTCCTCTCCTGGAAGACGATCCGGCGACCGAGCTACGTGATAGCAGGTCCCCCTATAGGCTTTCAAAAGCGCAGCGGAGGAGAGGACTTGGCGTCTTGAGAGGGTATACAAGTTTTCCCCTCCGTCTTCTGGGACGGCGTCCAGTGGGCTGTTTTTAAAAGAGCACTGGTGCCAGCGTTCCCAGGACAATCTGCTGCTCGCTTTCACCCCTATTTAACCCCTAGCATGGGCGGGGGGGGGCGGGGGGGGAGCTCTGGGAAATGCACCGAGATGTGGACTGATGTGGCGCTTATCGCAGGAATGACACCTCCCTCTGCCACGCCAGACATTCTTTGTTTGAGTCCCATTTCAATTGTCAAACACAACTGAGGTTTGTATGTCTGTTTACATCTTGACGTGACGACGCACTAAAGGTTGTGCCCCGTTGCTGTACCGGTAACCATCCTGCCCCAGCCTGTTAATCAGCCATCTTCACATCATGTGATGTACAGATTCACCCATTTTCTTTAACCACTTGTCTCTGGAAGTCCATCACGGACAGAATGCCAGTGTTCTAAGGAGCATATATTAAATAAAATACAAGAAAAAGGGGACATTTATTTTCAGGTCTATGTTGCCATTTTGGCATTAGTGCTTTGGTAAACTCTATGTATCTGGAATATTTTTTCCGCAAGCCCAGATTTACTTTAAGTAGAAAGCTACCTGTATATGGATATATGACTGAGTGTTTTTATATATACGAATGTATGAGTTTGTATGTTTTTCTTTGCGAATGGATGTATGAGTTTGTGTGCTTCAACACGGCCTGCTGATCAGCATCCTAAACCTGCTACCGTTTCCCAGTTTGGCGTTCGCCAAACGCCTGTACAACCGACTCGATTAACTAGAGTAACTTGTTCTTGTGCCAGCCGATAATTTCAGTAATTGTGGTGGGAACGGTGACAGAGTCCATGTTTATTCCCAAAGCTGAATAGACTGACATGTCACAACATCGTCGTCAGCTTAATCAAAACATGAACCGAAGTCTCACCCTTCGAATGTTGCAGTTGGTTGCAGTTTTGCGCAAATGAACTTGTAACTATGGTCATAAACTTAAAAAATCAACACTGAGATGAAGACAGGACAGGTATTGATGTAGAAGTAACTTTTAATGACTTAAACATACCAGCCCATTCTATATCGACGTTGCTTTGGATAAGCAGGACGCATATGCAACCGTTTAACCACCGATCTCTTTCATGGGGTGATAGAATCTCCCTGAGGGTGCTGCATGACAGACTTCACAGCACGCTTTAGGTCTGTATAGCGTGGATCGGGTTCTGTTTGATCGTTTGTCATTTTTGCTTCTGCTAACCGTCCAAACGGAAGGTCTTTTGCGATGACTGTAAATTTAAAGTCGAGGGAAAGCAGACGAGCTTCTGACGAGCCCAAAATGGTAACATGGAGCAGCCCAGTTGCGGCCGCCCAGTCTCTCACGAGAAAACGGGGACCGGCGGAATGAGAAGCATTTACACACTTGGCCTATCTTTCTCGTCATCGTCCTTCTCTCTCCTTCTCTCTCTCCAGCTCTGATTCAGGGCAAGGGAGAGTCGTATTTGTTGAAGCGTTAAATGGAGAGCCGGCAAATATTTAGATTTAGCAGATGTTTGTGGGTCTCCGTGTGCACTGGGTCCAGAAGACTCATGGGAAAGCTCACAAAACCGTCTGGCCTGGGGTGAAAACTCTCATGTTACCGCCAGCTCAGGACAACAGAGCCAACTTATTTTACACACCTTGTTGCTCAGATCAGCCCGAAAGCAATGGCGAAAGTCAATTTCATGTTCCCATTGCGTTTTTCTGTCCTTGTGAGGAACACATTTCGGAGAAAATGTCCTTGCAGAGATATAGAAACCCAAAAAGGCCGACACTGTGGGTATGACCTCACAACAAATGCCCCCCATTTTTTCTTCCTACAATCTCACCTGCATGTTTCAGCTAAAATTGCCAGGACACACAGGTCGTTGTTAATTTCCACACCCTCTAGCTATTCTGTGGATTTATTGTGGGAAACCAAAGGGCAAGGTGGGCACCCAGCGCAGATGGCGACGCGAGCGTGCACACGCGTGTGCATTTATGTAACGTTATAATTTAGGGGCGTGTAATTTATATGCGGGTGCGTGGTCAGAATTGCGGCCTGTCGTTTAATTTCACGGGGTGTGTGGTTTACGGCTGCGGGGGGCAGCTGCCAGGGGTCCTTCAAGGCTTGGCTGGCGGGACCCTGCCACCTTCCGTCTTATTTCAGCGCTGGGCTGTAAGGACCAGGCTCAGCCAATCAGCATGAGTGTCACATGGAGCCACATTTCAGCCCCTCTCCCTTGGACTTTCTTCTCTGAAAGCTGATTGGCTCCTGGAGTGCCATTTCCCGTCACTCAGCAACTCAAAACATATGTAATGATAGGGTTGACCCCTCTGTAAGAATTATGGTCCCTCTTATGCCCCTCACTTTAAAAAAGTACCAGAATGGCCCCTGTTGGCCCCATGGCTCAGTGGGTGGCCTGATACTCAGAGGGTTGTGGGTTCGATTCCCATCTCCTGCCCGCTCTGTGAGCGTGGCATTCACACATCCTCCCTTCATTGCCTCCGTTAGTTGCTTAGATGTCAGCACACCAGGCGCCTAGAGTAAATGGGATTTACCATGACCGTTGTCCTGCGGCAAGTTAGGTCACGCATCGACGCGAGTGAGCGATGGATGGATGGAGAGATGCCGCATGGCGTGAAACGGCGAAAGAGGCAATTACTGAATTATGGATGAAATCGGCCGAATCACATCTGCGGAAACAGAGAGCGTGGACTGCAAACGAAGCTCACGCCGTCTCAGATTATTTCCTCGCGGTTGGGGGGGGGGTGATCAATCACGGTCCGTCAAGGCCTTTAAATGCCAGGTATGGGGAGTAGGGATCGATATGAATTAATAGCGCTACTCTACTTAACCGGCCCTGGAGAGGACGGCAAACAACCCCCCCCCCCCACCATCACAGCATTAGGAAAACAGTCTGATGCCAGTCAGGCACCAACGTTTGAAGTCCCCCCCCCTGTTTTACACTGACCTAGTTCATATATAGGCTAATTAAATGCTTGGAGTTCTCAGAAGATACATATTGATGAGGATTTCAGGATAAAAGATAAAAGATTCCAATCAGAGGATCGGGAATCAAGGGCAGTAGCGGATACAAGCGTGTGACACAAACATGTTTTGGGCCCCATTGATCAGACTCGCGTTCACAGACGGGGGGGCTGGTTCGGCCCCTACAGGCGCTGACACAAAAGCTCTCCATTTCCTGTTTCGGGGAATGTGGAACTCCTCCCCCCCCCCGACCAGTGCTGGGTGACCCTCACCATGCCCCCTCTAGTCCACTGTTTCGCTTTTGGGGAGGGGGCAGTGAATCAGATTAAAACTTTGAAGGTTCAGAGAAGTTCCAGTCGCAAGAGATCTGAAGCCCCCGGAGGTCCTCCATGAGATGGGGGCTGTAGACATTTATCAGATTCCTCCCACAGCCAGGCATTTCCATAAATGGTCATTTTGGGGTAAAATGAGCTTTAGTATTGCGGTGTTGTGGTCGTGGTATGCTTTCTCCACAAGGGGAGTCCACAAACCATCACTGACCCCCATAACTCCATAACTAAATGCTAAAGTGTGAAATGGGTTAAGGAAATTGTAGGCCATCCATCAATCCATCTATCTATCTAACCAACTATCCATCCATCCATCCATTTCTCCAGTACAGGGTCACGGTGCCAGGAAATTAACCCCTTATTGCTAGTGTTAGAAAGACAGTATAGTAGAGGAGCTCTAGAACATGGGGAGATCTTCCATGCTCAACAGTCCAGGTCAAGCATTTTTCAGTAAACATCCAGCACGGCACGTGACTGAGAGGTCACAAGGTTACGACTCTGCTCACCGGTGGCCAGTCACGAAACTGCATGATGCCCTCGGCCTCAGCTTTCAGAGTTTGGATGACGAGAATCAGTCGCAGGAGATAAACAGCTTGTGAAAGGCAAAAAAGCAGCTCCAGACAAAAAGGAAAACGAAACTCGGCACGCCACAAACGTCTCAAACACCCAAACCAAATGTTGAAAGCACCGAGGAGTCTTTTGAAGAAGAAGAAGGCGAAAATGTTTGAAGGAGAACAGTTATGGTTTCATGGAGAGCGCTGGCTTGCAGGTTCTCAGGCTTGTCCAGGCCTTTAGTCAAAGGCTCAATTAGTGCTGGTGCTTTGCCGACAGATGATGTTACTTAGCGCGCAGTAGTGCTGCGGGCACTTTGCATATATCGTCTGTTTCCATGCAAGAACTGGCTAATTAAAAATTTTGCAGGCAACTTGCTTCAATTTTTGCTCAGTAGGGATTCTGGTAACCTCTCTATGTTTCCTGGGAAACTGTGACTGAGTTTTTCTTAAAATAAAATGATCATTCCCGACTCTTCACCCTTTTGATGCTAAAGGACTTATTTTTTTTGTTCAGGGAATCGTGGGTTAAGTTTAGTAACAGGGGCAGCAGAAATGGTGACGAATCCAGAACTTGAAGCCTTTCTGTCCTCATTGATTCACGAATAGTTCAGCTTTGGTAATACCTCCCAGCAGAGTTGGTTTATCCCACTATTCACGGTCCTAAAGTCATTTGTGGCAAAAACATTTTAAAAAAAGTTTAATTCACCTAATAGACATTGCTTAATTAGTGTAGGAGATGATTAGGTCAAACAGAAGATGCGGTCATTAATCTTCAGGTCAATAGAACATCTATAATGCACAGGATTGGTGGTTTGTTCTGGGACGAGGCTCTAGTACTCCAATTAAATGCATTTGTTTTGAATGAATCATCTTCTGTGATGACATCACACGTGTTCCCCAAGACCAAAGGTGACCCTCATCTTCAGGCTTCATGCTCTGACTCCAGAGGAACCAGAACCATTGTCTGCAGGGTAGTATTTCCACTCTCTTAGCTCTTACCATGGCAAGTCTGCACGATCAAGTTGGCAGACATATATGTGCACATGTAGACACATGCAGTGACATAGTGCAGTCTTAACTCAATCTAATACTCTCAGTAGCATTTCACAAGTATGACACTGCCAAACCCATATTGTGGTTGTGAATTGCGGGGGAAAGGGGTCTGCCTGATGACAGCTGTGTGTACAGCTGAATAG